GACGTCATCGCAAAACAGATGGTAGCGGGACCGTGCAATTGAAAAGGAACAAATAGAATCGGTGAGGGGGTTGGAGTCTCAACAGGTGTCTTCCAGGTGGATTTCACAGTGCTCGAACCCCGTCGGGGAGTTCAGAGAGAAAATTTGCATACATTTGCACAGAAAGGGTGCTGCCGCGAGAGGCCACTTTCCCAACGTCCCATGCGGATTCCCGTCGTTTTTCATGTTCGAGCTTCCAGACGCGAATCCGTGGCGAAAGCGAAAGCGGAGGAAAAGTGGAGGAAAGGGGGAGGAAAAGGGGAGGAAAGGTCAGAAAGACCGACTTTCACGACTTCCCATGCTCCTATTGCGTGCGTTCTCGATCACGTTTCTTATTTCGCAGTTCACTTCCGCCGAAACGGCAGATTCCCCGCTCGCAAAAAAGAAAGCCAGATTCATTTATAAACGTCTGGAGAGAGATATCGCCGGGCGATGTTTCAAGCTGTTACATCTTAATCGCAATCATAGTAATTAGAATAATTACGATGTATAATTGCAACCATCATCCTCTTTCTTCTTCCTCTTTTGGGATCAGAGGCTATCTTCATGAAACAAAAACGGACATGGATGTCAACACCTCGCGTTTCGTCAGCGGAAACGATTTTTTTCATATGTAAAAACATTTTTAAGTAGCATCGTGGGCTGCAGAGGATGAAATTGGGCATCGGACAACCCTGACGACCCGGCTGCACCTCAGACCACGTTTCCCGCGGGAAGCGCAGGGGGGGTCCATCCATCACCGCAGGCCGTGCAGTCGGGTCCGACGGGCGGGGAGGCACGAGGCGGATGGACCGCGGGCCTCCCGCAGCCCGGCGGGTTCGGTCCTGGACCTCCCGCGGGGCCAACAGCGGCCACCGTGTTCCTCCGCTTCCGCTTGTTCGATTTATGCTTACGCAACTCATAAATTTATTCCAATTAACGTTTGTTGGTATTTACGATTCGCTAAAATAAGTTTTGATATATATTTTCCTATTGATTTACATTTCTTCGTGTATCTCAAAAGAAAAGTGAAAAAAGTATTTTCCTGCTGCCATTTCTACTATCAAGAGTCATTTTGCTGAAATAAGAGCAGCCATTATTTTAAAAATTTACACTGAATTATTGTGAAATTTGACAAGAAGGAATTCGTTGACAGCAAAAAGTCTGAAATCGTTTCCGGAGGAAGTTGGGTTTCCTACAAACCTGCATGAGAAATGTTCATAGTAAATTTGGAACTCCAGCATTATTTTCTGTGCTCAGGTTGGAAGATGGGTTGTTAATAGACAAAAAGGGAATACGAAAAAAGTTTTCAAATGAAGGATTAAAAAAAAAGGAACTGAACGAAAGTATCTGAAAATAAATAAATAAATGAAGATAAACGAAGTGGACTTCGAGCACGCGACGGAGGGGAAGGCTTTGCAATTCATAGGTGTCAATGGGAATTCGAACCTTATTATTATCCATTGAGAAGGCCTCATTAAGAGTATAGTGTGCGATTTTGGAGGCCTGCCAATAAAAGGGATTCATTTAACGGCGCTGGAGAAAGTACAGAGTAGGGAGTGGAAAACAAGGGATCCGGTAACACGGAGTTTTTCGAACTCGACAGCTGAAAGAGAAGGAACGAAATATAATTAGAATCGCTTTCGTAAATGCACGGAACGAGCGAGATGTTACATCACCGACTAAATTTTAAAAAAGGGGGGGACAATGCCGCTGCGAGGGTGTAACTGGGAATGCGAACCTTTTATCTTTTCTCTGTGGTTAAGGACGAGCGCTCCATTCGGGACGCGAATGGGATTAGCTGAGGATGAGCGCTCGATTCGGGATGGGAATCGAGAATTATCTCATCCTTTCAGCGGGGATTTCAACAGGCTCACGAGTTGAAATGTCGGCACTCATCACGAAATAAAGCGGGGCGGAAATCACCTCTGAGAGAGGATGACATTTCGCGTGCGGCGACCCCATTCTTAAGATGAGAAATAAGCCACAAATCAAAACCGAAGTGGAAAAACGCAATTCCGTCCCCACGGTGCTGCCATCTCTCGACGGACACGAGAACTTCCGCGGTGGAGGTCGGGATGTCGAAGCTGAAGATTCTCTCTCTCGTCCGCAGGAGAAGCGTCAGGCGACGTTCCGGTTCCCGCCGCAGGGCCAGGCGAGCGTGGACTACCCGACGTACAGCGCCGTGCCGAGCGGGCTCAGCTTCACCTGCCGCGAGAAGACGCCGGGGTACTACGCCGACCCGCAGACGCAGTGCCAGGTGGGAGACCGTGCTTGTCGTGCTTAAATGATGATGTTGGTGCCTTGGTTTCAGAGGTTCATGAGAATGTTTGAGGCTGTGAAAATGTTCTCGATTGCGACGCTTCGCGGTTGCATTTCTGAATGGTGATGCTTCATCGGGCAGCTCTTCTTAGCTTTTTTTTTCATCAAAAGAAGTGACTTAATAGCGTGAGAAGCAATCTCATTCCCTCAGCCTCTATGAATTGTTTCGAACTCATCTGGAACGCAAAAAAATATCTTCATAAAAATATATTTTACAATATATATAACTAATATGAAAACAACGCATATTTTTATGTCAGGCTTGTGAATCTTGCCCTCTCGTTATTTCCTTCCGGCATTTGGTCTCCGAGGCGAGACACTTCTGCCGTCATGCGCGAGTCGCCTTCGTTCGCGCGCGGCATTCGGTGGATGCGGACCGTGTCCATCTTCGAATTCGATCAGCTGATCCCGATTCCATTTTTTTTTTCCCCAGGCTCATCGTGGAATTGCGAAAGGAATTGCGCAAAGCCGATGAAATTATCAGCTAAAAGTTTTTCATTTTCTACACTTCTGTTGCTTAAAAATGGCATTTTCCAGCAAATAATTAAAAAAAGTGATAATTAGATAAATAATGTTTCAAAACTTCACCTGACTTGACTTAACCAGGTGTGGCACTGGTGTGACCTGAACGGCCGCCGCTACTCCTTCCTCTGCCCCAACCAGACCGTCTTCAACCAGAACTACCGCGTCTGCGACTGGTGGTACAACGTGGACTGCCAGGAGGCGACCCAGTTCTACTCCATCAACAACGACCTTTATCGGGACCTCAACGGGAATGCGCTGTAGGGGGGTCGGACCGGGAGGGAGGGTCGAATGTCAAGTGCAATGAGGTCTGAGGTGCTCGGCGGGAGGATCCAATCAAATTTAACGCAAATTTATGATCGGAATGCGTGAGGCTTTCTCATCGTGTAATTATTATTTACTTCTTTCGCATTTTTTCTGCATGTTCATAACTACGAATGAGTGTCGTCCATGCCATATTAGTGGATGAAGAGATATAAAGAAACGAATCCGACTCGAATGGCATTTCGACAATTTTATTGAAAAAAAATCACATCAAGAAGCCTGAGGCGAGTCCTGGAGTTTCTTGCGTTTCGCAGCTCGGCTCTTCTCGACGGCTCTCCTGCAGACACAGGACGTTCCTCGGTTGCAAAATTTGCCAAAATTCACCTGGAAAAAGAGGGATTCGTTTGGGAGGATCTTACATTCGCTTGAGTTTCCTCTCCTTGTCGTATCTCGTGACGGTCGAGATCGGCTCCCGCTTGGGCGCTCGGCGTTCCAGGCTCCTCTTCTCCTTCTTCGTCGGCTTCTTCAGTCGCAGCATGTAGTCGGGGACCTCGCACCCCGAGTCCTTCACCACCTGGGCGATCCTGTAACATCAGGTCAGACCAATCGGCAATCCGGGCATTAAAAATTCCCCCGTAGAAGCGGATCGACACAGATTCCTCTGCGGAAGAATTTGCATAGCCTCCGAAAATTAATTATCGGGAATGGAGGAAATTCAAAAGATTTCCTAGGAAAGGATGTAGGCCACGACAGAATGAAATGAAACCTTGACATCAAACCTTGATGCTGGTGTGACTGATCGCATGCAATTTTCTTAATCATCATGCAGTGCAGAGATGAAAGCACAAAAACAATTCAGATGAAGTGTCAAGGCCGAGTTGCAGAATGCAACAGCCAAGTCTGCTCCTTCTGCATGCATATATTTTTTTCTTCCTTTTTTTCGTGCACCCTCTAATGATAACTACCAAAATGTTAATTAATATTCATAGAGGAGGTTAAAGTCTAGCATGGAAGGGAATGGCCATGAATCAAAGTTTTAAAAGTCAGGATGAACTTGTTACGAGAATCAACCAGAGAGAACAGGAGGAGAGACTGTTTTGCATCTTGAGATGATAAACCTACACAATGCATGCAATAAAGTGGAACTATGACAAGGCCACAACAAACAATAAGTCTATTAAACTCATTTTTACTACCAGAGGTGCAACAGAGGAATTTCCTTACGTTCTGAGGTTGGCCTTATCTTCTTCCGTGAAGAAAGTGATGGCCTTGCCCTGCCGCCCGGCACGACCCGTCCGACCTGAAACGACAGAAAACGATCGTCAGCGGCCGATGTCGATGGAACGAGGGCAACGGAAGAAGACGACGAAAGAGACCGATGCGATGGATGTAGGAGATGGAGGAGGGCGGGAAGTCGTAATTGACGACCAGGTTCACGCCTTTGAAGTCCATCCCACGGCCCATCAATTCGGTGCAGATGAGGACCCAGATCCTGCCCCTACGGAACCCCTTCACCACGTTGTCCCTCTGTAGAACGACAAACGATCGACACCACTTGTGCCATCAAACTCTACAAAATGCAGATGGCTTTTTGCTCCTCTTTTCCAATGGAGATGACATCGATGGAAGGATTTTCACTCTAAAAAGCAAGCTATGCACATGGAGATAGACGTTTTATAAAATCATTAGAATATATAGTCCTTTCCATAAACTCTCATGTGAAATCACGATCTATCTTTTTGGATCCCTGAGGGTTTTTTTCCCAGTCACAATCATATTGCAAGTCAGAAACTCGAGCGACCTGGAGTTTGGAGCGGTCGGAATGGATGACATCGACGTTGATGCCATCGTAGATGAGCTCGTGGAAGAGTTCTCTTGCCCGCTCCTTGCTCTGAACAAATACCAGGACTGGAGGTGTGAGACCCTTCAAGAGAATGGTTCAGTTGTATTAAATACCAATCAAATAAAAAATCTTGCCTTGACTTTTGCAAGAGTGGAAATGAGAAGAACACATATAAATTTCTAGGAAACACAAATTTGGGCAAGTACAATCATTCCTGAATACGCACTGTTTATCATTCTTGTCAATGCACTCTGGGTCCACCACAATGTCAAGTTAGAGTGCAAGAATGAGATCAAAGAAACTCCAGACTTTTCCCACGGAAATGCAATAAATCTCCAACGCATCCCGTACCTTGCGGACGAGGTCCCGGAAGGCGACGAGCTTCCCGTGCTCGTTCCCCACATAGACCAACTCCTGGTCTACTGTATCCACAGCTGCATTTCTACCAAGTACCACCAAGTCAATATGAATGAAACTCCCTAAAAAAAAAATTTGCAAGATGACAGGGACAGGGCATGCAAATGACTACCTGGCCCCTATGCTGACCATGGCGAGATTGTCCAGATTGAGTTTGCACCATTCCTGAACCTCAAAGGCGAACGTGGCACTGAAGAGAGCCCTTCGTGCCTTGCTGGAATCCCCGCACGCGTTGTAAATCACGGCCAGCTGATCCCGGAATCCTCGCTGCCCGGCCTCGAACAGCTTGTCCGACTCGTCCACGATCAGCCATTCCACGCTACCGACAAAATTTCCCCAACTTGACGATATCAAATTAGAAAATACAACATCTACTAAGATCAGATAAATTACTTTGCAAGGGAAAGGACAGGAGGCTCCTGCTTCAGCAGGTACACCAGCCGATTTGGAGTGGTCACCAACAGGTCTGTAAGTATTTGTATCAAAGACGTCAAATTAATTTTATTTGAGGGCCCATGGAGGCAATAACTTGAACAATTATCAGATAGGTCACCATATTTTCCAGCTGTCTTGGGCCCAAACTTCTTCATGGCTTTGCTGATCTTTTCAATGATGTGGATCTTCAGCCTCAATCCTTCAGCCAAGTTTAAGGCCTCCCTAAGAAGAGACACCGAAGGTACACACACAAGTGCAACCTAGACTAGCGGAAGAAATAGCCAACATGTTTAAATAAGATAAATACAAGGAGGTAATGAATTTCTAATTATAACTTTCCCTGTGTAAAAGGTAATCTCATGTAATATCAGAGAATGTAAAAACAATAAAGACTCAGACAACAATACTTTTAAAACTGATCTGCAGATGAATTTAACATCTCCAGAAAGGTACCTATAAATCTGCCCAGCGAGTTCCCTGGTGGGGGCAACGATGACGGCCCGAAACCCCCTCTTCTCGGGTCCTTTGAGGTGACTGAGGACTGGAACCAGAAATGCTGCTGTCTTCCCTGAACCAGTTGGGGCACAGGCCAGCAATTCCCTCCTCTGCTCAAAGACAACAACCTCTCATGAGGAAAAACTGCAGATGTTCAGAGGATAAAATTACCAAGGGAAAAGAACCTGAGCAAGGAGAGGGATGGCTTGCATCTGAATGGGAGTGGGAGATTCATATCCCATCTTGGTGATGTTTCGTATCACGAGTTCGTGGATGCCGTGAGACCCGAGGTCCTCGAACGTCCGTATCGGCTCGGGGATGTCCGACCCCCACGCGTGGATGCGGTGGATATTCTTCAGTCTGTTCACCTGAGCCAGCATCACAAAATAATTGGATTGTTTAAGAACCAGAGGAGCAATTGATGCACATGAGCAAATGCATGAATGCATGGAAGGAGACCTGCTCTCGATGCATCGCCGCTGCGTGCTCGGGTCCTTGGACTTTGATCTTCCTTTTTCTTTTCTTTCTGTCGCCATCATCGGCCACAAGATCACCCAAGAGTCTCACTCTAGTTCCTTCCTCTCTCTCTTCTTCTTCTCCCTCTAAGTCATTTGCACTCTCATCCTCAAGTCCACTATCGTCCTCTCCCAATGAAAGACCTTTTAAAAAAAGTTATGGTCATGAAGAATCTATAACTTGGAATACCAAAAGCCTTGGACAGCCCAGTTATGTCATACTGGTATCAGATGCATCACTAGGAACTGGGTCCTTTGATTCTCCCTCATCTTCTATCTCTTTAGAGGTTGCAGCTGCTGATGCCAGGGGTGGCTTTGGCCAGTCTGGTATCATCTGTTAAATTTTTGAGACAAGAGAAATGGTAACAACACAAGTAAGAAATCTGATCCAAGTCAAGGTGAAACTCGGGCTCGCCTTAAGCTTGACAGCATCATTCCTGAAGCGTTTGAAGTCAAAGTGAGCTCCTTTACTAAGCTTCTTGAAGATATCATATGCATCCATAACTCCTGCAAATGCAACATGCACTCAGACTACCTTTCCACCTCTGACAGATAAGTAAGAATCTCCTGGCTGTTGCACTTCTAGGTCATGGGCATATGATGGAGAGGATCCCACCTAACTTGCACACTGCAGTTGCCCCAAATTTTTCATTAATTCCATTGGCAAGTCTTCCATATGAACAAGGGCTGAGCCAAGGAATTGTCTGAGAGAATGATCAACATGGAAAGTCAAGATGACTACAATTTTATTCTTAGAGAGGTGATAGCAAACCATTCCCACTTAAAGACTGGAGATAGCTGACAATTGCCACAAGAGAGTAGAATCATCACAGAAGAGGCCGTGTTTTTCATGATACAGGTATAAAGAGCCAAATGCCAAAATGGTCAAAGGAGACCAAGTTTTTTCTCAATCATGATGTGAGGCTGTGCTGTAGACTCTTGAAACTCAGGAGGGTTTAGGAAGCTGGTGAAGTCGATCATCTCGTCCTCTCCGCTCAACACTTCGGCCATGAGGTTTGACGATTGGAGGCAGGGCAGCCGTCCGACTTTCTGGGCTGCCCTCTGCTCCATCTGCAACCGCAGAGGAGCATGGATTCCCTAAAAAACAAAGACAAAATGTAACAAAAATTCCTTCGTTTGTTTATGTCCATGACCTTAACTAATAACAAAAAACTTTTAGTAGTTCAGGTCATAAACTAGGCCTGGATCCCAGGCAAGTAAAACACCTACAGAACTGGATGCATATTCAATTGAGTTGCATCTCACCTGTATCTTCTGTAATGAGTGAATGCTCATTTCTTCAATGATTGCTTTTTTGCTGATTTTTTCCTGCAGGGGGTGAGAAACTCCTGCCTGACCTGCAACAGGCATCTTCAACCCGTATATCATGGGATCTGGGTCACTAGAATAAGGTGCTGTCTTCACCTGTGGGCCCGGTCTTGCCTCCATGTCTAATGTGACTCTTTCAACTGGGAAACTTTACCCAAGTTATAAGAATCTGGGGAGAAAAAAAAGAATCTGAATTGTCTGGATCATAAAATGTTTAAAAGCTCCAGAGAAAATGTGAAGGCGAATAGAGAAAAAGTTTGCATTTTACACATTTCTCAAAGGCAGTTTTCTGACAAATTTGATTGAAAATTCCATGATAAAAAATTTAAAAAGTGCTCAAGAAAACCTCACTGCTAGTTTGATATATTGACAGAATGGCTATTTTAGCACTGTCTTGTGTAAGTTGTGGTATCTAGCAAAGCATCTAGGGCTCTCAGTTTAGACATCCATAGGACTTTTCAGACAATCATCTCAAAGAGATCCACAGGCCAGGACACTTGCATGTCCTCAAGATTCATGTTATTATGGATGATGTCTCTCATATTATTGCTGAAAATTTCCAGGGTATATGTCCAATAGACATGACCTCTCTGCAAGGGAGAATGATATGCTACTACTAGTGGAATAGCAATTATGTATACTTCCAAAGTGTCTCATGCAGGGGACACTCTCAAGACATCCTCAGGATGTTCTATGTGGTAGAAACTCAATCCAGTCTAATGAAGTCACCATGAGATATCAATTAATTCTCATGAGAAACAAGAAGTTCATGAAGAACAAGAGGAACCTCATGAGAAAAATGGGGGGAAACCTCATGAGGATCAAGAGGAATTTCACGAGGAAAAAGGGGAACCTTATGAAGTACTTCACGAGGAACAGGAGGAACCTCATGAGGAGTTTCTTGATTAGCAAGAGAAATCTCATGAGAAAATCAACAATCCTCAATATAAACTCGAGTTATAATGAGGACTTTTTTAACGTTGTACGATAAGTAGCATCTGGGTAATACGTACAAGTGGGGTTTGGCATTACCGTAGCGATACGGTAGCGAAAAAAAAAAAATTCAATATGTACTCAAGCGTGGACTCAGCCCTAGAAAGGACTAAAGTAAAAAATGACAACATCTCAGCATACCATTCAACAGGTATGGGCATGATGCCCTAACTGTTCGTAGCGCCTTAAGCTACGAATAAGAATTCTAAAAAGTATTAGCCATTTGAACCATCAAATCCCCGGCTAACCACAAAACGAGAGTTGAAGATACAGAGGAGGGCAGCCATCTTTACATGCGCTCGATTGCGGATGAATGATGAACTAAGCTTGTGATTTCCACGCGACTGATTATTCTCAGAGTATTTAATGAATTTCATTTCAGTAGCGATACTTCAATGTTAGCGAGTGAAACATTATCAGCCAGATATTTTTATATGTGGCTTCGTTAGTGAGGTGCGATCCATGAAAGTGTGTGATTATCTTTGGGAAGAATTGCTTTTAGATAAACGGAATCGAATCGAAGATGCTTGAAGGTGAATGGCAACTTACACTGTCTGTGCTAATGACTGCTCTTGCATGGTCTCTGGAATACCTTATCTAAGGATCGTGGGACTGAGCATCGTATTAGTGTTCATCTGCAGCAGAAACTTCTCTTACCGTTTAGATCCTTGTATCTATGTAGGCCTAGACCTTGCCGAGTTTCTCTTTTGGATGCATTCCTAACTTGCATGCATGGTAATAGTAGTATACGAGTAACTGCTCGTAAAAATTTCATACGTGGGAAAATGTTGGGGAGCATATTAGTAGACCTAGGCATGCGAACATGTCTGTTTTTGTTTTGCCTTTTGCTTAAGCCTGCCTCTTTTAGTGTGTTTTTTTGCTAATTTCCCCCCCCCCCCCCAACTGTGAATCATTTTGTTTGCTTNGCTTTAGCTGATAAAAGTTCATGCCCAGTCTTAGCAATTCCCCTTGCCTATTAGACATCACACAATAATAATATAGATCACAGTTGCTGTCAACATTTCATTCAGGACATCCAGGTTAGAGCCGTAAATTTAATATGGAATAAGGAAGACTCTGTTTATTCTGGTCATCTTGCATCCAACCATCAATTACCTTCCGCATCTAACTCGCAATTTACTCAGAGCTGCCTGCGGTGTACCTAGATGTGTTTTTTATGGGAGGGGCGGGGGTTGGGGGAAAGGTTCGCTCGCCTCCTGACTGCAATCAGAACAGATGCCTTTTGAGCTCCAAGGTGATAAATATTGAGCTGAAACTTTGCTGATTACAGCACAAGTTTTCAGTTGCAATCATTGCGGAGACCTCTTAAATGAAATATCCTCTCAGGATAGAGGAGCTTCAACCCCTGTAAACCCACTCTTGGTCACTAATCATTGCTCTCAAGTTTGTCTAACGTTAGGCCTTTGAATCTTGGGTTTATTGGTTGTAGATCACAGAGAACTTTATGGTTATTTGTGATATAAAATTGCGAGTTAGATGCGGAAGGTAATTGATGGTTGGATGCAAGATGACCAGAATAAACAGAGTCTTCCTTATTCCATATTAAATTTACGGCTCTAACCTGGATGTCCTGAATGAAATGTTGACAGCAACTGTGATCTATATTATTATTGTGTGATGTCTAATAGGCAAGGGGAATTGCTAAGACTGGGCATGAACTTTTATCAGCTAAAGCAAATGGCAATGACTGCATCATTCCTTATTAATCAAGCTGAATATTTGCATCACAAATAGCCATTTTGTACCTTAGGACTTTAGTTGAATAAACTATATAACATGCTGTCTGGAGTTTCAGTCCTACAAGAATATATATGAATTAATATTATGTGCTCATCACAATGTGTGACGGTAGCCCCCATTTAAGTTATTATGGTTTTCTTTGAATGGTTCCACTGAATTTTCCTCCTTTTTCTTACTTGGATCCAAGATTCAGCCTGATGGGCCTCATGTGACATCTGGACATAATTCTACCCAATTTCATTAGAATTGCAAGGTAGAAGGCAACAGTTTTTCTCATCCTTGGAATCTTTGTAGCATTTCCACTTATGTTTAACAATTCCATTTACTTCATAACTCATGTGCTCCACTGAAATCAAAATTAAAGATAACCAGTCTTGCGGAAGATGTGATCCTAATCCAATGAGATGGGAGTGTCCTTTGAACCCTAATGTGCATAGGATTACAGAATATCACTTCTATGTAATGGTGAACAATTTTTGCTGATGCCACTATGCTTCTGATTAAACTGCAGTGAGCCCTGCTAGTGATGTGATTTGTAATGATCTTGGTGTATGTCTGAATCCAGACATACCCCATGCATGTTCCTAATACAATCTTCACCTTTAGCTCAGTGTGAACATATTTGGCTAAGTTGCCTTGTCCTCCGTGATTTGTCATATTCCACTGTCTGATTTTTCAGTATGGCCTTTTTTTTTCCTGTAGATAAAATGTGCAAGCCTCTGTAGAGGCTATTCTGTCCCATTTAATTTTTGCTCCCTGAGGGACATTCAGAAGGGAGTGCTGGCCCAGCTTGAAAGCAAGCTAGGCCCACAGCATGATTGGCCTAAGCATGTGAAAATCAAGCCCATTCTCAGCTTTATGGTCATGGCCACTTCACTCCTCTCTGAGATCTGAGTCCACCCACCTCAGTGGAGATCAACAATGGTGAGCAACAAGGACAACAGCGATGCTGTTCCAAACCGCCGCAGCATGCGGCTCAGAGATGCTCCCAGACAAGACTACAAGGACATCGTCATGCGTGGGCGTGATGCCATCGAGGAATTCAAGGTTCGGAAAGTCGTGTCAAATTCACCCGGTGCCAGTTCACCGAATTCATCGGGTCGACGTTCTTCACTGAAAGGCTCACCTAGTGCTTCTGGTGGTGAGAAAGGAAGCAAAGGACAACGGCGTGGTGGGCGAAAGACCAGGCAAGAGAGAGAGTCATCATTTGAAGAAAATGGAGAGACTTCTTCCCAGTCGTCTGAGTCTGAACAGAAGATAGACCATAGCGACATTCATCCCTCCTCTTCACCTCCTGCCACCAAGCAGTATTTCACTTTGTCAAGTGAACAGACATGTGAACCTAATGAACTGCACAAAGGTTCACCATCAAATGTGAAGCAGTATTTCACTGGGCCAAATGAAATAGCATCAAGTGAATCTACTGACGTGAAATCTGAAGGGACAGGAAATAAAGCAGTCAAATATAAACCTATTGATGTTCCTAAAGTTCCTGCTGATCCACAACCAGTAGGAGCAGGCAGTATCCATGCAATGGAAGCTGAGATCTCCATGGAACATCCTCCGGCAATGAAATTAGGTATCTCTCGTGCTCAAAATTCAGTGGATGAAATTGTAACTGCTCGTGGAGGAACTCGCTTCAAAGCTAAAGAGAGTGTAGGCCACAGAGGAGGGGATAATGCCCAAGGAGATAATTCATTTGAGAATTCCATTGAAAATCATGCTGGCTCTCTGTCTTCAAAACCTGTGCATGACAAGGATGCACTGGTTAATGATTTAAGAAAGGAAATGACTCCATCACCTCCATTCACACGTGAAGCTTTAAGTCCTCGTGAAGAACAGAAAACTAAAGCCACAGCTTCGATGATTTCAAAAATTCCACCTGGCAAGTGCAAATCTGATGAAAAACTAAGCAGCAGCAGCAAGAGCAGGCCTAAGCATGGCAGAGATTCACAGAAAGGTACAAATCATTCAGAAGGCCATGTAGAAGGGAAATATGTCTCAAAGAACAAGGAAGACAGAAACCACTCACAGACTTCTCACTCCAAGACTCAGAAAAAAGAATACAATCAGAGAAGTACTGATATCAGTAAACCACAAAAAACAGAGGTCTCTCATGATAGATCACAAAGAAGTCATGACAAGAGATATGCAACTTCATCAGAGCAAGAGCCTTCACTAAAAGGATCCCCCACTGCTTCTACTAGTGAGAAAGCAAGTATGGGGAAGAGCCACAGTGGTCGCAGGATCAAACAAGAAACAGATGTTCCATCAGCACTGGTTCATGAGGTTCAATCCAGTGATGACCTAGATCATGTCATGGAGGTGGAAGTCAGAGGGAACACGGAGATGAGAGATAGATCCCAAGGTGATCCTGACATTCCTTGTGATACAGGGGGGACAAGAATTGATGGTGCAAGTGCCATGGAAGTGGAAGTCTCCTTGGAACTCCCTTCTTCACCTACTATGATATCAGCTAATGTTGATGCTCAATTTCCAAAGGATGAGACCAGAAGACTGGGAAAAGATGACATGTCAGAGAGCAGGGCATTCAAGAATCCTGTGTCTTCCCAACCTAGGCATGATGAGAATGGACTAGTGAGTGCCAATGTACCTGAACAGGCAGAAATTAGTGCACCCAACCCTTGCAATGATTCAAAAAAGCCAATGAATTTACCCCTGTCTGGAAAATTGCCTAATATATCATGTCACTTGAAGCATAGGGTGGGTGACAAGACGTGTGTATGCCAAATGAGTGATGTGAAGCAAGGTATGAATAGTGCTGATGAGATAGGCTGTAAGGATAAATCAAAGTTCCCTGCAGCTGATGTGATGAATGCAAGTGAGTCAGTGGATATGAAAGAACAAATGAATGATGATGAACTGAAATTGGGACCAGATGAAAGTGATTTACATTCTCTTCAACCTAAGCATGAATCCACCATTGACACTTCAGAGAAGACAATTGAATTTGAGACAATGCCCACATCAATATCTGACATTCATTCAAATAAAGAACTAAGAAATGAGACTGACATTGTTTCCGGTTCAAGATCATCTGACAAGCACAAATCCAATGCAGAACACCATAGTAGAACCAGGCAAAGCAGAGATTTGAGGAAAGAGACCAAACCCTCAGACAATCCTAAAGAGAGACAGTTTGGTTCCAAAGACAAGAATGTGAATGAGAGGAGGAGCCGCTCAGAGTCATCTCAATCCAGGATGCACAAAGAGGAACACAGGCATAGAAAAGAAGATGATCAGGACAGAAGGCGAAGGTCAGATGCCTCTCATGAAAGAACAGAGAAAAGGCATTCAAGTCATACTTCTCACAGAGAGAGAAAAAGGGAAGAGTCACATCATAGGAAGGAGTCTGTAGAAAAGAAAGATGAAGTAGTGGAAACAAAATCACCCCAAAAGGTGCAGGATTCGAAGGGAGATAGGAAAGCTCCAGAAGCCAGTAGGAAAGGGAAGACTTTTGATGATACTAGTGACATCAAAACAAGGAGCAGAGAGAGTGGGACCACTCGGGATGAAGGGAAACCTGTCAAAAGCAGCGATAAAGACAGGAATGAAAACAAGTCTTCCAGGGCCCTTAGTGAAGAAACTTCCTCTAGGGACAGGAGGGACTCGGAAGTCAGAAGGTCATCCAGAAAACTGGCTGCTCTGAAAGTACTCAAGGAAAAGGACCAGTGTGAAGAACATGCTGAGAAAGTTCAAGCAAGTCTTAAGGTAGTTGAGAAGATGGAGGGAGAAAAAAGTACAAAATATGAAGATACCACAACTGAGGAGGGCCTTCAGAGTCAACCTCAGCTGGAATTTTCTTCAAATCCCAACTCCCACCAGACTAAGGCCCCTTCTGAGACTCAGGAATCTGATATCCATGATCTCCAGCAAAATTTGGAACACTTAAAGACAGCAGATGATGGCAATTCATTAACTCAGGCTTCCAAAGAGGGTTCTGGAGAGGACATCAGCATTGATGTACCAGAGGATGAAATTCCCAAAATGTCTGTATGGCCTCCACCTGCTATGTGCTTCAAGCGTCCCAAATCTCCCAGTGACTCCCAGGACACAGACGAAAATGACCAACCCTATCCTGAAAAGGAACCATCCAAGCAATCCTCTATACCTTTCAAGAAACGCCATTATCCCGTTGAGGAAGTCCAAGACAGTGAAGACTCAATGACGTTTGAGTCCAGCAAGGCAGAAGAGATGGAATTTGAGGATGGCAATGGAGCCTGGAAGGACCCAATACCATATATCAACCTGGAGGAAAATATCTATCAGATGCCTATGTAAGTAATTCTGACCAGACAAAATGCATTAGTTTCATTTTTAAATCCTACAATTTGCATGACCTTTGTGTGGACCTTGCAGGAAGAGAAGTAAGGACACGAGGCGAATGCTGTGCGATTGTGTCCTCCCGCCAGGAGGACTGGAAGGCTGTGGTGAAGAATGCCTCAACCGTCTTCTCCTCATTGAATGGTGAATGCAGTTTTTTAACTGTAATTTATTGTAGAAAGCCTCCTGTGTAAAAGCAGAAAGGGTTCACTTATGTTTGCATCCCATTTATAAGTGTATCTGCTCCCACTTCTTCAGGATGATTACTCATAATTGCTTTGAATGGAATAAAAGTTGGTATCTTAACACACATGGGCAAGGGATAGACCAATATATTTTTTGGCTAAAGTTTGTTCCAAAACTTAAAGAATTTTAAGTCTGAATTTGTATTTGACTTAGGACATCACCCAAAACCCAAATAGGACTGATCTCTTTGAATCTCCTATGTCCTCCCCTGCTTATGCACTGTCTCCTCCCACTTCTATTTCTTCATGTTGATTCATGTTAAAACTCTCAAATTGTCCTCAAAAAATGTTTTCTTTGAGTATTTACAATGTGATTGCATTTGTTCAATGAAGCATCCCTTTGGTAATTGGAGGCCCACTAGTGGGCTTGGTTTTTCCACCTTGTCTCACATTTGTACACTGATGTTTCAGTGGACCACGGTGCCGACTTGGAAACCTGTGTGCCAACAAAAACTTCCAGCAGAAGAACTACCAGAAGGTAGAACTTTTCTATTCCCCCAAGAAGGGCCATGGACTCAAAGCAGGACAAGATATGGAGAGGTTTGTATCTTGCCCTAACTCCTTGGCATTGAATTTTTTCATGGAATGTTTGTCATTTTTCAAGGCATCAATTCTTTACCCAGTGTTAACTTGAAACAATGCTGCTATGCAACCATGCAGCATAACACACAAAACTTGCCACTCAATTTAAATCAAACTCAATGTCTCTATCACATTTATAACATTTTAAATAATTTTTTGATGGAAGGTTTGAAGAAAACAGCCATAATGGCTAGGGGTTTACAAAAAAAAATTTCATTTTACTAGTATGGTGAGCATTTATGCATGAAACTAAGTGGCTGGTAGAATTGCAGAAAATGAAAGCCAAAAAATAAGGATGTTATGAAGTAATTTCTAGTGACTGGTAAATATGGTTTTCTGCAGTATCTAAAGAAATCTTACACTGATTTCCTCCTTGTTTCACATCAGAGCAATATTAGAATCCTGTGAAGTCAATGGTTAGCTATTCACAACATTATCTTATTTCGAACCTACCATTGGGTAACTTTTTACTGGTGTCATTGATTACTGTTCTTGTACAAGTAGCTGCTGCAGCCTTGTGTGCAAAGAATAACTCTTATTCAATGTGTGGCTTATTAAAATTGGATTCTGTTCCATGCAACTTAATTCTTATTTCCTGCTCATTGAGATATGTTTATGAATATCCAAAGTCAAGCTTCAGTTATCAATGCAGCATATTAAGAGTAGATGGTATGTCTGAATTAAGGAAATTTTCCATAATTACTCGATATGATTAAGCCTATGTGAAATGTGAAGGTAGGACTCATCATTAGGAAGAGAATATTTTTTTTTGCTGAATATTGGATTGGGATGATCCTTCTATTCCAGTGGTGCTTTCATCATGGAGTATGTGGGGGAAGTGATAGACTATGAACAGCTGGAGAAGCGGTTGATCTCATACAATAAACAGGGCCTTGTTCATCATTACCTGATGGCCCTTCGCAGTAACCAAATCATCGATGCAACCATGCGTGGGAATGTCTCCCGTTTCATCAATCACTCCTGTGATCCCAATGCTGAAATGCAGAAGGTAGCTTTGTCGTATGATGCATGACTGAGGAAATTGGGAGTTGCCAATACTACTAGTTTGCATGTCAATTTGCAGTGGACTGTGAATGGAGAGTTGCGAATAGGGTTCTTCTGCATTAAGGACATCCCAGCTGGAGAGGAAATCACGTTCAACTATAACTTCCAAATCTATGGGTGAGTTGAGGTTGTATGTCTTCATGTAACAAGGACCTAGACAGGTGAAGTCCCTGTCTAGGTGAGGATCTTGAGGGTTACTGTCCATATTTGCCATTGTCCTTGTACCCCCTTTATAAGTATGAATCTGCCCAAAGATGAATATGATAATGAGAAAGGAAGGATGGAGGTGGGAATCACAAATCAGCTGTTGATGCATTTACACTTGAGGTAGAGACTAGAAAGTGAAAAGGATTGGAAAACTTATTTTTGTGTGGACAGGGGTCAAGCTCAGAAGTGCTACTGTGGGGCGAGCAACTGCACCGGTTTCATTGGGAACGAGGTTGACAGCGATGAGGAGAGCGAGGAGAGCAACGATCGTACTTTGGAGGAACTTGATGACTCTGTACCATTGCCATTTTTGCTTGCATTCCTTTTTCTTTATTTCATGTTCTAAATCACTTCTGTTGCATTCTATCATCATTGATTTGCTTGGCCATTTGGAAATTTCTCAAATTACTTCTAATGATAATTTATTTCTGAAAACGGCATTCTATCAAAAGAAGATGTAAGCTTTTCCTTTCCTCACTTAAGTCTCTGAGTGCTCCTCCATCAAGTGTTTCTCTGATGAACAGCTTTACTTCAATTTCAATTCTGAAATGACTCTGGATACTTTGCATAACTCTTGATGGTAATTTGTAGCATAATGAATGCTTTTTTAATATTAATATGTAATGGGTAGTAAGATGCTTCGATATTGAAGTTTTTCTGTTCAGATAAACAATTATGTGAATATTGTTACTCCAGTAGAGTAAAAGATATTTCTTTATTAATTTTAAATATGAAATATAAATACTGATAACAGAGTAGAGAGGCTTTGTGAAATATGTTAGACTCCATTTGAAAAATGCCAGTTTACCTGGAGATCCTCAGTGATTGGGGCTCAGTGATCTTGGTAATTATATCAGCCAAAAACCAATACTATTCCAGTGTATCTCTGCTGAATTTGATACTAGTAAATGAAAATAGAAGTTCAAGTTTATTACTTTTCTAATGTCCAAACCCTCCTCTTTTCCAGTTGGAAGAGGAGCTGGAGTACCTGTGTGAGACTGGTCTCCGGAGCACAGAACACACGCAGACGCTGTGTCGACTGATGGCCAAAGTGAAGGAAGCAAAGCCACGCCTCACGCTTCTCCGCCTCGTTCAGAATGGGGACTCGGCCCACCACAAGGCCTTCCTTCGATTCCACGGCCTCAACTTCATCCGCTCCTGGATGACTGAACTCTCGCTTGCCAACTCAGACCCTGACGTCTGCGAACTGAGGAGAGAGGTCTGTTCCTGTATCTGCAAAAACAATCATCAGTGCCCTTTATGGCATTTTGAATAGCCTACAGGGCTTTTTTTTTTAATGTTACTTGAATTCTCCTTAAGACTCTACAAAGAAAAAAATACAAGGTGGCCAAGGGTGATGACCAGAAATTGGGAATAATGTAACACTATCCTTAGGGCCTTGTAGGTTGAATCTGTTCATCTTGTGTCCTGTCATTAAACTGTTGAGGTTTTCTTTCATTGAGGTTTTGAATTGCAATGGAATTTTAACATTTTCTTTGCTATATTAGATACAAGGTGAGAAGTTGAATTGATAGACCTGTGGCTGGTGATGGAAAGTGTGAAGGAAACACAAGACTTGATATGAAAGCTTGTGGTTTTCTCAGGAGAGGGAAATGTCTCTTGTTTCCCCTCAATTCTTGTTCTGATCCAATTGGATTGACCTGAACCTGGACTGATTGGATTGGAGTTCCAACAACTATGATGTTGAAACTCCATTTCCAACTTTTTCATTGAATTACTTACATATGGTAACTTGGTCTAAGGAATGAATCAGGATTGGATGGTATAATTGACCTTGTTGGCAAAGTGGAAGCTGTTGGTTCATTTTGGTAATTTTAGCAAGACCATTTCATCCATGGGACACTTTGTATATTCTTTGGACAGATTTTGGCCACATTGTCCATTCTACCAGTGCCTCACAAGACGATGCTCATCAACAGCAAGATCCTTCCTGCAGTGGAGGCCTGGACGGAGTCTCGATCCTGGTGCGCATCCCTCGTTCCGCCCCTTTCGTCTCTTGCCTGAAGTCTGCTGAAATCTGTTGCATGCAATGCCTTTTTCTTCCAGCAGCAGTTCCCAGGAAGTGTCAGGACAGAACAAAGAGAATGAGGCAATGGACCTCTCTGTGGAAGGTGTTACCAAAAGTGATGCTAGTTTGACTTTGAGTGATCCCCAGTTGCCAGTGTTAGCAAAGGAACTTCTGTCCGTTTGGAGCGGGTTGAAGGAACTCTATCGCATCCCCAAACGCAAATCCCAATCAGAGGAGGAAAGTTCGCTCTCTAGAGGTCTGTGACTTTCAAGCATTCCTGTGTTCTGTAACACAATTTCTCTTATTAAAAACTATATGAATGTCTCATTTTGCCAATAGCTAGCCATATTTGCCTCAATGTACCCAATTATTACCATATAATTTTACCATGTGTGCTTGATTGTGTGACCACAGATTCTTCTGGCTCAGTCTAATGCATCCATTGCAATATATTTCATTAAGGTTGCTATAGCAAAGTGGATGTGTTGAAAGGGTGGTTATGATGGCATGAAATTCATCTCATTACTGTACTTGTATTTCATGAATGCCATCTTACATGAATCTGTATGGGATGTAACCTATTAACGTTTCCAGGAGGTTGTAAGGCCTTGGTTGGCTGAACATGACATTGTCTTTGTATAACCAAGTGCTGTCTTTTTCTACTACAGAAGTATTTGTCGGCAAAAGTCTGCCCAGATATTCAAATCAGTACTTATACCATTTTTCCACCATGCCTAAATGAAGTACAAATGCAATGCATACAAGATGTAGAGCAATTGGTGAAAATAATTATTGATGGCACCCATGCAGATTCAAATAGCTGCCTTATCTCAGTAACCAATGAATATGCTAAGTTATAATCTTATGTGCCCATCTTTATGATGAACTAATGCATGTTCATAAAAATTGTAATATATAAGTAAGATGGAAACAGAATAGACTCAAAGACTCTTCACCACCACTCAGGTAAATACTCGTGCCAAGCTACAGTCATCCAAAGGTTTTGGCCTGATACAATCCATTTGGGACATCCACTCTTCAATAAGCATGGTTCAAAACAGCCACTTATCAGATTTTCCTTCTTCACACATCTGTGCATGGCTTACTTATCATTTAGTTGTCTCTTGATCTCAGATCGGTTAAGTCATTTCGCTGTCACTTCCTTATTCAAGGGTTTTCTTTGGTAAAACATCATTATTTTCCCATACCAAAGAGATATCTTAGCTTCAATGAACTAATGTGTGTTTGGTCATTTTATTCTTTCAGTGCCATTCCTCCTGAGCCAGTTGCAGAAGGGAACACTGCCATTGTATCAAGGGCGGCGTCAGGTTCCCATCCCGGTTCTCAGAGCGAGGCCTCGCGAACCTCTACTCCGACCGAAGCGTTCTGAAAAGTCTGCATCTGCGCATGCATTCTCCTCTAATGGATTTAGGAAAGAAAATCTGAGGAAAGTGCAATCGAGAATCCCATCTGTTTTTCGCGACAGGGACCCGTACGAAGGCCTGAGCAAGGAGGACCGTCGTCGACTGTTCGAGCAGCAGGTCGCCGAGGAGGACGAGCGGAGGCGGCGGGAGGCGGAGGAGGAACGGAAGAGGCAGGAAGAAGCAGAAGAGCAGCTGAGGCAATTCGGGATCGATCCTCAGCTCTGGCCTTACATCCAGGCCTATCTACCTCAGTTCTATGCCTCTCCCGATGGTGGCTTCTATGCCAGTCTCCCAGGTCTCTTAGTTCATTTCACTTACCTTACACCTTTTTTTGTTTCTTAGCATTTAAAATCCAATAAAACTTACCATGGATATGAAATACTGGGTGGTCTTTCTTGAATGCACAAAGTATTCACACGAGGGAAAAAGATGTATGGAATGGAAATGAAGATCTAAAAGGTTTGCAGTGCCTGTTAAAGTGGGTTGACTACTATGTTACAGTTTAATCTAGATTTTTGTTTATGAGTGTGACTGCAGCAAAATTGTGTTTTTCAGGTCAGGCAAAAAAAATTTTTTTTTTACATCTGTTTCTGTTCTCCTTTGGCTCTTGCTACATCCTTGTTGCATTTCAATGAAATTTCAAGATTAAAACTCAATGTAACAGTTTGTGAACCAGAAAATGAGTTTATTTTCATTTCTTTGAGAATGAATTACCTCTGTCCTGCCATAAAGTTAATACAATCATTAATTCTGAATCTGGATTACTATTGTATGCTAGCGAGCATTAAATAAGTTTTCCTCACAATTTACAGTCTTTTCTATATTTATTATGGCAACGAAGAAACTCTCCAACCTTGTTTGGGATACTGTGCACGTGCAAACGTAGACAGTGAGATTTCTCAGACACGACTTACTTCTTGTGCGTGGCCTTCAGCAGTATAATTTGTGCACAGATGCAGAAGAGTGATGATACAAGGGTGCCCAGGTGGCAATTGCTTTTCTGTCTGTGCTACTCCTTGTTAACAGTTGTGCCATGATAGCATGTGAATGACGTGATGTCTGCAGATGGGACGACGTACCAGGGAGAAGCGGCGATCGCCCTGTACGAGTCGATGAGCGGGACCCCGACGACTCACACCCCGTCCCCCCACCTTTCGAACGCCTCCCCGTCGGCCCCCCAGATCCCCTTCGACCTTCCCCCGAAGTGGGTGGCAGCTACGGACCCGTCCGGTCGCGTCTACTACTACCACATGCGGAAGCGGGTCCCCCAATGGCTTCCACCGTTGATGGCAGACGATCCCGACAGCTCGAGCGACTCCAGTTCCTCGGGAGACAGCGACGAGGACGACAGTTCGTCCGAGGATTCCGACGACGAAGACACGTCGTCTGCCTCGTCCGATGAGGACAACTCTCAAGGATCTCAGCCTTCCAGCACGGAGGTAAATTCCATTTCCGTGGGGTTTCCGTCGGGAAGTTGTGGAAGCAGTCGCGCTTGCACGCTGGAAAGCGGGTAGCAGTGACGATTTGTTCGACCGAAGAGGAGGGTAGGCGTGGTAGGCGATTCAGATGATGGGGCACTCATGGAAATTTGAGTTTTGGAAGTCCGTCTCCATTGCCTGCCGCCTGAAAGATGAGGGCATGTCTCTGAATGAATTGTCATGTTTCACAAATAATGAAGTGGGTCCACGTGGAGGGATTGTTGTGGGCAAAAATTGGTTGCGAGCCATTAAGGCCGATTGGAATGATCTATTTTCCTTTGCTGCAGAAAATCTTAATTTCTAAGGCCTGAATGCTTCAACCTCGTTTAGGCACGATGAAAAGGGCATCGAATTAGAGCAGCTCTTTCATCCGAAGGAGTTCACGGATTCATAAAAGTGGCATTATTTTCACGAGAGGCTTCGATATTCGCACCTCATTCCTCTCGAGAAATCCCCGGATGACTCTCGATGAAAATTTTCTCCGATCATAGCGGCTTGAGTTTTTATTTTAGAACGAGGTGCCCGTTGCTGACGGAAGCGAAGTGACGCCAGGAGACGTCCCCCTCCCCCCGAACGGGAGGGAAGCCCCAGTAGCGGAGATGTGTTCGCTGAGCAAGGAGGCGCAGCAGAGGCTGAAGAGGAGGCAGAAGAGACTCGAGACCGGGCTCGTCACCGAGCATGCCATCAGCGTGAGTTTCCTCCCCCTTTTTTTTTTTAAGCTTGTGAGCGAATTGATGGGTAAAGACAGGGGAAGAAAATGGTTCTTTAGGTCGTGTGGGTCGTTCGTTTCCTGGAAATGGGAAGATGTTGGCTTTCTCTTTCGATTGGGATTTCAGAAGGGCCCATATATGAATTTTGCCGTTGTTTGGGACTAGGTCCGTCTGGAATGTTTTCCTTTCGTGCACTATTGGGTGCTGCATATTTTTTTTAGAGAGGTAAAAGCAAGACGGTGATCCGACGGATGTGGTATTTTTTAATTAAAGCAGTTTACCCAAACCCAGAAAGATCCTCATGTCCAATGGAATTTCTTAATTAATATATTACTTGCTGGTGATGACCTAAAATATATTTATCCAAGCAATCTGGAAGGAAATTTATTGGTTTCTTTTTGGTGCAGTTGAGTGAAAGCGGTTTAATTTATCCTCGTGGCGAAACGATTCACTCACCGCATTTCTGTTATTTTTTTCAGCCTCGAAACGAAGAAGAGGATCGAGAGGCGTTCAAAGAGCTGATGAAGAGCGTGAAGCGCCGCAAGGAGCGCCTCCTCCGCCGCCGCCTCACGGACGATCCCTCCGTTTTCAAGCGCCCCCGGTACTCCGACCCGGAATACGCTCAGGGTGACGTTCTTTCCTCGAGCGACGAGGACGACGAGGACGAGGACGACTCCAGGTCCGTGACTTGTCGTGCGGTCGTCGTTTGCGATATCGTCAGTCCCCTCCCGGACCCCCTGCCGACTCGCGATCGAACCGGACGCGACGACGCAGAACCGAATCGAACGGAAATTCACGATAGCGAACGGGGGATGCACCCTGCCTTTCGGCATCTTGTAAGAAACATGAGCTCGTACGCAGCCCGAACACGATGGACGAAAGCTCGCTCGTCCCAGCTAATCCCATTGGAAAAAGATCATTCCACAAGGGATCGGGAGGGGATTTGGGGGGGAAGGGGAAAGGAAATCGTACCCTGCGGGAGATGGCGGGGCATTCGCGGAGGCGGACGAACATTCCCAGCACACACTGGGGTTCATTCACGCGCAAACTTTCATTGTGACCTTCCCATTTAAAATCTCGGATCGAATCTCCTACTTACCTGCGCCCGTTCCAGGAGCTATATCTACGCCGAATTTCGTCTTTTAACTTTCCGTCATTTTGGAGAATTCATGGAAAAACCATCTCAATGGAATTGTGGCCATAATATGTGAACGACCTGTGATGTCTGCAGATGGGACGACGTACGAGGGAGAAGCGGCGATCGCCCTGTCTCCCCTTCGACCTTCCTCCAAAGTGGGTGGCCCTTTGTCGGCACTGGGGGACCCGCTTCCGCATGTGGCAGTAGAAGTGACGCGACCGGAAGTGATGCGACCACAACTGCCACCCACTTTTGAGTCGGCCGACGGCGAATCGGAGGAAGCGAAATATTCCGTAGGATTATTGTTCACGAATTCTCCG